TATTTACTCTGACGAAACATCTCATTGCACTCTCCGGGTGAAATAATACACCCTAGATTGTTAACAGTCACAACGTTTTTGTGTAAGAAAACTTGCATCTACAAATCAATAACTATCACCTGTGTGATATGCTCGATACTTTGTCACTATGCTTCAATCAAATTAAACATACTTTGCATTCTTGCTTGTAATCTGTCATAAGATTAGTGGAAATGTCTGTAGTATCTGTTCGTCTTGCACGTTTATTTCCTACCATGTGGTAAAGGAACTCTTCAGTTCACTAATATTCAAAGTTGGTGTTTCGAGCACACAATGTCGTCACATGGTAGTCACATGCACCAGTGTTCAGTACATTTGAAGCAATTCTATCAAGCCGACATGCTTTTCTCCTGGTCGACGTCGCCAATTCTCTTCCAATGACCCTTTTCCTCCCCAACGAATATACACTTTGTCAGTGCTGAATTAACCAGTTGTATTGTGATCACCACAATTACACTGTCATGTCTTGTATGACACAAAGTTAGCCACAAGTTCCAGTGGATAAACTTGAATAGAAAATCTGAGAAACTTTCGCATATACATATTGCATATTCACACACAGTTACAAGTAACTGTGATGCACAGTACCGGTAGTCACAATGGACACGATTATTCGGAAAAGTAAAATGATGTGCAATGACCAGGTTTCACATTTTGATCACATTTTTGGCGTTTCGAAAACTACTAAAAAGATTATTATGCAATGAAATATACTTATACTTACATGCATACTTAATAAATCATTTGTCATCGTCGCCCGGTAAAACACCCTGGGATTATACTCTGGGATGCCCTCAACTCATTAAATGGTGGGTGGGCTTATACTCGGGGAGGGGCTTATGCTCGAGGAAGTACAGTACAGTATATTTTTTAGTTTAGTTTTAGCTCATATATTTATTGGTAACAACGGATAAAAATGTTCTTTTTCTAAAGATGCAATAAAATATTACTGTACATGTATTAATGCATATTCGCCACGTCTCCCAAGCTTCCAAACAATTCAGCATTCCAAGTCTTCCATTCAACACACAATTTCACTGCTTATGTATGTCAAAGAAACGACTGTCAACCATGTAACTTTATCCATACCTGGATTCGTCATACTCACCTGCAGACTCTTACTCTGGACTCTAATTGACAGGGCAGTTTTGTTTATCATTTACTCTTTATGTAGTATATTCCTTACAATTGTGAAAATAATAACAATCATTTCTACCAGTGACAAACTATCACTTGTATGATGTGGGGTTATCTGATATCAAGTACTTTTATGAAGTATCAATGATACACTGAATTGTGGTTGCCATGTGAATGATCAATTAACCACACAAGTTCAGCGGGCATGGCTTATGCTAGCAAATTAGATCAAGAAGGCAATGCAGAGGAAATTTATATACTCACACTTTATATACTCACCATTGAATATATATTTTATAATTGAACTGAGAACTCACAAAGATAATATATAGCAAGATTTATTTCTTTACTATCTACTGGTACATCGTGAACACAGCGCCATGAATAAATACGTCCTACTATAAACTAGTATTAGATCGGTAAATTATTGTGTCATAAACTTAACATTGATACTACATCCATGTACTGATTGCAGTTCATGAAACATCTTGTCGTGTGACTACACAAAACACCTTGTACATTTGCAGCACCAAAATGATTCACAAAATATCATGGTGAAAAAATGCTGCAGAAGACATTTTTTGGAAATCATATTTCATACTTGTGTCCATTTCACACATTCATTGGTATAACAATTGTTTTCCAAAATGATTAGTAGCCATGGTGAATTGAAATCCATCCAGGTTCAACGGTTAACATCCAACATGGCAGACAATCTGGTTCAGGTCAAAGGTTAATTCATGATTGAGTGACATCCAACATGGTAGACAATCTGGTTCAGGTCAAAGGTTAACTCATGATTGAGTGACATATCCAACATGGCAGACAATCTTGTTCAGGTCAAAGGTTAACACATGATTGAGTGACATGGCAGACAATCTGATTCAGGTGATCTCAATAACACAACAGACAACTACTCAAAGATGTTGAATAATTTTTGCACCTCTGCAACCATTGTTCTGCTGTGAGTCAAACTCTCAGTCATACTATTCCAAAAAGTCCACAACTTCAGCAAGTTCTCTTCTTTTAGCTTCTTGATGTGCCCACCTTTCCTCGGCTAGCCTCGGCGTGATGTTCCATTTGTCGTGATATATTCTTTGTTTGCATCCTGGGCATTTCTTACCTCCTGAAATAGACAAATAAACACATCACTTTGCCTGTATGTGTATAAAATGTTGTGTTATTTGGTGGAAAGTTAGATTGAAGAGCATGTTGTGGGGTTGAGCACTGACCGAAAGTTCAGTAGTGAATGACTTGTTTGTTTGTTCATCGTATTATTATGCTGGACATTGCCTTTACATCTTTGATCATACTTTGTGTAGCCTGAACACAAGTATTAGCTAGAGTTGTTGTTGAGGCATTTCAACAAAGATGCTACCAACGTTTATTTTAGGAATTATAATCAATAATAATTATACAAGAGAAACAAGGCTATGACAGTATAGTTGACTTTTAGTGGAGGTGTTAAAGGGGCACCTCCAGTTAAGCCTAATCTCACAACAATTTACTTTCTAAATTAAAATTACAATGGATAATAAAAGATAGATTAACATTGTAAACAACATAAACAATTGTGTTCTTTGGTGCAAACCCTGGTTTTGAAGGTTCCCCATTAAGTGTGCAGTGCTATACCAGATTTTTTTCAGTTTTATCAAAATAGAACAAATTTTACAAAGTAAAAGTAAGGAAGATGCACCAAGCGAGTAAAACAATGTGCATAGGCATTCACTCAAAATATAGATGATACAGTCTTTGATTTAAAAAAGCACTGAGTGGGGAATTTAAATATCATTTTTCAATGTTTACTTGAAACATTCCCCTCTCTTTTTCTTCTCCTTTCCTCTCCTCACCTACCCCAGACCATT